AAGTAAATTGATTAAACATCTTTACATATATTGACTAGTTTATGTTATGTGCCGTCAAGTCAGACCTGACTCATAGTGACCCCTCCTTGGGTTTCCGAGGCAGTATCACTACAGAAGTAGATTGCCCAACCTTCCTTCTGAGGAGTGGCTGGTGGGTTTGTACCTCCAGCCTTCCGGTTAGCAGTCAAGTGTCTTAGGCACTATGCTACCAGAGCTCCTATTGACTAGTTTAAGTCATTATAAGTAATCCTTTGCTTCTTGCACTTACTGGTCCCCATCATGGAAAATGAAGTTTGAATTTCACACATGTACAATAATTATATACTTTCCTACAGCACACTTGAGCCTACAAACTGTAATAAGGTATTACTTAACAAATGGTGGTCCTTTATTAAAAACAAAATAAACCTCTTGATCTGTGAATTTGTTAACAATTCTGCTTAACATTAGTGCAGACATTGTAGAATAGATCTAAAACCACAGGATTCTTTGTCAAAATATAGGTTTAGGTTAAATTAAAGCCCTTGGGCCTGTTTTCTACTTCTTATATGACTTGACAGCACATAATAACAACATATATATGTGAGAAAGATTCAGAGTTCTCTCTACTTCCAACTCTTTCTAAGCCTTCATACTTGCATAAAACTCCAAAACCAAACTCACTGCCATGGAGTCGGGTCCGACTCATAGCGACCCCTCTTTGGGTTTCTGAGGTGGTATTTCTGTGGAAGTAGATGATTGCCTAGTCTTCCTTCCGAGGAGTGGCTGGTGGGTTTGAACTGCCAGCCTTCTGACTGGCAGTCAAATATGCCTTAGATATTATGCCACTGGAGCTCCTTCATACTTGCATAGCAACACTGAAAAACAGATCCAATTCATAGACATCTTAAAACTAATTCAGCAAACTAAAGCAAAGATATAGATTTCATGTAATAATTATTATGTTGTTGTGTTGTTGTTGTTACGTGCCGTCGAGTCGGACCCGATTCATAGCGACCCCTCCTTGGGTTTCCGAGGCAGTATCACCATGGAAGTAGATAGCCCCATCTTCCTTCCGAGGAGTGGCTGGTGGGTTTGAACCAACAGCCTTCTGGTTAGCAGTCAAGTGTCTTAGCCACTATGCTACCACAGCTCCCTGTAATAATTATAGTGTACATTAAATAACTCTATTTTGCTGATACACTTAGTATCATAACCAGAAAAAAGCTACCTAAATCAAGTGTTTTTGCTTAAAAATCATGGCACTTTTTAGGCATTGGCACATGTTATTATGATGTACAAAGTTCCTTTAATATATTTCTTATAACAGACTGAAAATCTATGTTTATACCAGTGTTCTTTAGTTTGAGGAGTACAGTATGGACTAAGCTTTGGCATAAGCACATATATCTGTGGAAGTTAGATGTCATTCAGCTTAACAAATTTGAATACTCCTTGCTTTCTTTAAACCCATGTCTTTTTGAATGTTGCACATACTAAACAATCAATAAAATTCATTTGTCTACATGTTTAATAAGTTGAGTATCAAGGTGTAAAATTTTGTTATTAGAGAAGAAAAGCTACGATATTCTCATGTAGAAATAAAAAGCCAAATGCTTTTGGGTGTCTTAGACTTATGAAATGGGAGTTGACACTGTTCAAAAGCTTCTTCCATAAAGCCTGGCCTAACTAGGCTAGAAGACAGAATGGTAGGATCTTAGTCTTCAGATTTCTTTAGTGAGATATTTTAATAGCATCCTAGAACTTTCCTGTCTGTTGCACCCAGGAAGATTATGTGCCCACTAAAACCACCACCAAACTATTTTGTTGCGACTTGCTGCAGACTTTCCACTAACACTTCTCTACTGTGGGAACTAGAATTTGGATTTTATGTTTGGTGTAAATTCATGGTAGGGATTTAATTAAGTTTTCCCTCAAGAGTATTAATCATGGCTGTGAAATACACTGTAGGCATCATTCATACCAAGAGTTAAATGAAATCAAGTCAAAACACTTCATTCTAAAAAGTTTGTTGTTGTTAGGTGCTGTTGAGTCCATTCCACCTCATAGTGACCCCATGTGACAGAGAAAAACTGTCCCAAAGGGTTTTCTAGGCCGTAATCTTTACAGGAGCAGATCACCAGGTCCTTCTGCTGAGCCACTGGGTGGGTTCGAACCTCCAACCTTTTTGTTAGCAGCTAACCTTTTTGTTAGCTGTTAACCCTCGCACCACTAGAGCTCCTTAAAAACAAGTATAAATTAAATGACATTTAAAAACCGTGAATTGCCATAGTCTGCTGAGACAATTTTGTGTCCCTGTGGTAAACGGACTTTTATACTATATCTTTAAAAATGTCTAGTAACTGAATTTCCAACAAAACAAGCTTTCTTCTCACCCTGACAATGTAAGAAAGGATTCTGGCAGTGCATTATTTATGCAGAGCTATTTTCTTTACGATGAAAGGTTTAAAATAGGTATAATGGTATTTAACTCAAATCAATTTCAAACTTTGCATACTGATAGAAGTGTAGCTAGACACAACCATCATTATAAGAGTCTTCCTTATTGCAGCACTTTGAATGTTACTTGGAGAGACAAAATCGATTTGAGGACTCAAGACTATCATGGGAACTAGTTCCACAAATAGAAAGCAACATTACATGAATCTTAACAGTAAAAGAAAAGAAGGCCATGAACTGTTTTTTGTTTTTACTTTTTTAATATCTATATAAAAAATAACGAGCGATTTACAGATCTCTTTCTCTAATCAGAACCTCAAGTGTATATATAAAGGTACTGTACAATATATAAACATTTACAACCAGTACATCTATATTTTGCTTAGCATTCCAAGGCCACATTGCTAAGTCAGTATATAATTAGTACAATGACAGATTACTTAGAAAGGAAGAGCCATTATCAGACTGACAACATATGACATCAAAGTTATGTCACAGGTAACAATAAAAACAGGAGTTGTATCACTAATTGTGGACTATAGGGAAAATAAATCATTTCTGTGGTACTAAATTATTAGCATTTATCAAGCCTCCTAATTTTGTTCTATTCAAGTAGTTACAATAGGTGGGTGAATATACTTCTGGATGAAAAAGGGATTTCAAAAATCTCACTCGGAGAAGCGTATCTTATCTGCAGGGACTGATTCAGTTATTTTATAAATGAGTTTCACAGTCAGACTCTGAGAGGGAAGCACCCGGACAGAATGTGTTTCACAGCAACAAGATGAACCCAGAGTGATAGAACAAGTTTGTTCAAATACTCCATAAAATAGTTTTATTCTGAGACTGTTCTTTATAGATGTCACAAGAATGCTGCTTCAGGGGACTGAAAAACCTGGATCTCTTTTATGGAGTGAAAAACCGTCTCCACCTTCCCATAAATATACTTAATTTTAATTAGACTTTAACAAAAAACTTTGAAAATTTGTACAAACTAAGCAAATGTTTAGTCTTTCCCGTCTTGTTTTTAAACAAGGAAGTTAAGGTACTAGAAATTAAGATCCAGCAAGTACTGTCTAGGAGCTCTGCTGGCATAGTGCCTAAGGCATTTCACTGCTAACCAGAAGGCTGGCAGTTCAAACCCACCAGCCACTCCTTGGAAGGAAGATGGGGCAATCTACTTCCGTAGATCACCATCTGGGAAACCCAAGGAGAGGCGCTGTGAGTTGACTCCGACTCGGCAGTGGGTTTAAGTATTGTCTGCCACTATTTTCATCCTTGCTGGGGAGGCCTGCCTTCCACAGGTTCTGCTTCTAAACACCCAGACTTGTGCAGCTGCTACCAGATGAGCTGATACTATATTTGGCAATGGGCTCTGAGACTGGTTCATGATTAAGTCCCTTACACAATCTATATAATTGTTGTTGTTATGTGCCGTCGAGTCGGCCCGGACTCATAGCGACCCCTCCTTGGGTTTCCGAGGCAGTATCACTACGGAAGTAGGATTGCCCAACCTTCCTTCCGAGGAGTGGCTGGTGGGTTTGAACCGCCAGCTGTCTGGTTAGCAGGCAAGTGTCTTAGCCACTATGCTACCAGAGCTCCCATATAATATTTAGACTCCTCAAATAAATATGTATTAAAGACTAATGACTTTAGTAGTAAGTCTGACCAAAATATCCAGAAAGAGCAACTTGTTATTTTTCTTCTAATAAGCAGTATTTCCACATGCTTTTCTGGGATTTCATAAAGAAATGAGTGAACCAGGAAGGGTTATCTGAGATGCTGTAACTACATCAAGGTGGATAACATAACAGGAGGTGAGATCTTTATTGCTTAAAGTGCTTCCTCATTTTAAACATTCACTTGTAAGCCCTATCTTTGACAGTTATTTAAAACAATTTATCCAGCCAAATTAAAATAAAAAGTTGTAAGAAAACATGAATGTTTGTTTGACTCTTTTTTTTTTCTTTAGTGATGTTTCGGGGTTTTATTTTTAAACCGGGACATCGTCAGTAGCTGTTATAAGACGCCACTGCCACCTTTAAATGATAAGCTAACAATCTCTTCTTCTGCAAGGACTCAAATATTTCTGTAAACATGCAACATGCTATTGAGAGTATCAACTTCCAAGCCAAACTGAGCTTTTTCAGTAATGTGGAAATATCTGAGTGAGAAGGGTAAAACAGACATGATTTAGTAGATCGATACTTGGCACAAACACAGAATGAGTTGTGATCACATTGTCAATATCAACATACATCACTTGAGACTCTCCCAACGAGGGGCTGCGCAGCCTGAGCGCATAGCATGTCAGACGAGCGAGCGCGCGGATGCAGCGCCTTCCTGAGGGCAAAGGGGCGCGGCCAGCCGAGGACAGTTGTTTCTTAGCAATCTTAAGAGAGGCCCTTCATGCAGCCTAGGTAACCTGATGCTCAAATTAAAATGTACTTATGTGTGTGTAAGAATTTCTGGGGAAAAAAGAAAAAAACAAACTTGTTTTTTAATGCTGTTTTTTAGTAAGAAAAGATTAAAACTTCTTTTTCTTTGTTTTATACTAAAGGTCACAGCCGTTTCTCGGCCACCCCAGTGCCCGTGACTTTATTTGCACTTGGTACCTTCCAGGGCCCTGGAGTTATTGGTGTTTTCTTAACTGGAGAACTACTTTCAGGTTTGAGCCCCCCACCCTCTCTGTTCTTGTCAGCTGCCTCCAGTTCTTTGCCTTTGTGATCTTCTATTTTATTTAAAATTATTCTCTCTTCAGGTTCCTGCTTCTGCTGCTTTTCTGCGATTCTGACATTTTCTCCTATTCTATCTTTGCTAGAACTTAGTTCTCCTACGGTGTTTTTTTGTCCTTTTTCAGTTTCAGATACTACTCGTCTAACAGTGTTATTAGTCTTTTTGGATGGAAGAGACTTTTCATCTAGTTGCTTGCTTTTTTTCTCTGGAGACCTCGTTCTGTTTTTTCCAGGCTGACTATGCTTTGTATCTTTCTTGATGCCACCTGATGTTTCTTTCCCTTCCTGCATCTGCTCAGCACTGTCACTAGCACGGCCGCCTGTTCGTCGGCTCTCACCCTCTAGTAGTTTGGCTTCAGCATTTGGTTGCTCTCCGCTTCCTTCACTTTTTTGCTGCTTCCTTGGGCTAGCAGACCGTTCTCGGCTTTTTCTGCAGGGACCTCGTCCCGCCCCTGCTCTGGTGCTGATGGAACTTTTATTCTCCCCTTTCCTGGGGCTGAGTGATCGATCTCTAGGTCTTCTTTTGGGGTCAGTTTTCAGAGGACCTGGAATCTTTTCCAGATGTGCCTCCGCACATCGCCTGGCTGGCTTTTTGGGACTAGCTGATCGACCTCTTTGTGTTACACCGTTTTCTACTTTTGATAGATTTTTCTCCTCACTGTGTCCATGACTGTTGGGTGGATCCCTCTTATTCACATTTTTCTGGACAAGAGACTGATGCTTTATCTCAGACTGATTTTCATTTAAAGTGCTTTTCTTTTCAGGCACAATGTCCTTCAAATCTTCTGCCTTTTCACATATCTGAACTCTCATTAAAGGTTCTTCAATTACCAGCACATGAGACTCTTCAAATATGGAAGCAGAATGTGAAGATGGGGGAAATGGTGACTGTTCATCATAAATCACATTTGGAGATGAAGGATTATTCATATCCCAATCACCTAAAAAAAAGGCAGTATGAGGGGCACTGTTAAATTTTAGAATTATAAAAAGGAACAATAGGTTCTGAACTTTGACAGCCATTTGAATTGAACTGCTTAAACAGCTGAGTATGGATATTTTTAAAATAAAGTTTATATATGTTTGTATCTATGTGTATATAAGCAGATGTGTACAGACATCTGTACTTGTACATAAAGGGTAGGCTGTTTATATACACAAACTACTTTTCCAATTATGTATATAATTAGTGAGATAAATTATAATAGGTAAGTTACTTATAAGTAATAGAGCCCAAAATTAAGCTTATGATTAAGGATTAAAAAATGAAATTGGACCAAATTACCTGGTCCAAGAAGTTTACTACTTAAGCAGTTACCAATGGATATATCTTAATATGCCAAAACTAATTAACAAATGAGACCAAACTGTGGTAACCAGAATGAAGTTCATGGGCATTTGTAAATAATTTTGTTGAGTTAAGCTATCAAATTTCATGTCAAAAGAAAATTGAAAAGTACAGAAGATAGGATGGATGTATTTAATAGCATCACTTTTAATTATAACGAAAAAAAATAAAGAAGGAAGAGATTTACAAGACATGCAAATTTACCAAGTCTTTTTAAGGAAAGACCAAGAAAAGCCCTGAAAGCCTTAATGTTGCTCAGGTTTCACGTAGGAGCACAGACCGGAAGGAGCCAAACCTGAAGAAGGAAGAGAAAAAGCCTAGGACTATGTAAAAAAAAAAAAAAAAAAAAAAAAAAAAAAAAAAAATCACAGTGCAGTTAGCAAAGATGTCACTGGGAATGTATGATTTACAAGCAGATGGTGGAAGATAATACAGTCAGAGAATCATAGGCTAGAAGGGGACTGTAGGAGGTCATGTCTACATTTCACCCTCAAAAGTAGGGGTTGGGGGGGCAACTATTAAGTGGGTGTGATCCCACCTTTATTTCTAAAATAGTACACTCAACTGGAAAAAAATAAGTGATTTTTCAAAAATACAATGAAAACAAGCAAATTTAATATGAGTATAGGAGTACATGGTCCTAGGTCCAACTTGTCTTCAGGCAGGGCTACAGCAACTTGCTTTTGAAAAATGACTGGAAAATCCTGAAGTTCTACTCATTAAGATATAAACTTAATGTAAAGAAATAAGTAACATTTGTTGGTAACATGTAATTAGCCAGGGAGGAGAGAAAGCTGGGATGTTCTAATGATTTTTTTTTTTTTAATTTTATTGTGTCTTAGGTGAAAGTTTACACAGCAAATTAGGTTCCCGTTTAACAAGTTTTAGACAAATTGTTCCATGACATTGGTTACAATTTTCACAATGTGTCAGCATTTTCATTATTTCTATTTTGTTTGTTCTGTTTCCATTGATCTAGCTTCCCTTCCCCTCTTTGCCTTTTCATCTTTACTTCTGGGTAAGTGTTGACCGTTTGGTCTTATATAGCTGAAGTTCTGAAGAGATTTAAAATGTTTTTCATAACATTTAGATTGTTTGCCTCTAGCACATCTCCCTACAAAAGCAACTATATGTTTTCTTTTGAAATCAGCTTAAATATATTCTGCTCCAACAAAAGTCCTTCCTGAAATCACTTGTATCATAACACTATAATGGCTATGCTGTGTAACTAGTTTTAGATGGTTCTGGTGTTCACCTCTTGAATTAGTTAGTAAAATACCGATCCATTCCAAATTGACATTCCTTTGTTTTCTGCTGTCCCCCTCCTAAACACACAACTTTACAGCTACTAGTTGGCTACTTTACTTACCATGGTCAGGTATCAAGCCAGTTCCTGGCCTCAGAAGAAGAAGAACTTTATTTCCACCAGCCTGAATGAGCTCAATTGCTCGAGTATGTGTAATGCCTTGTGTAGGTTCCCCATTGATTTCAACAATCTGGTCACCAACCTAGATAGGGAATAATCAGTCACAGAAACATGAAATTCAATGCATCTTTCTCCAGCTCTGCTTTTTGTCAACTCCAGGCCTGCTAAGTGACTCCCTTTCATTGGTAAAATATTTAATTTGTATGTAGTGTTATTAAGCTAGAGTTGGTGATTGGATAGATGGTACCATTAAAAATAAACAATGTGTGCAATTTTCTTTACTCTGTGAAAGTCCTACACTGCCAAATTTTACATAACCAGTCAGGATCTGGGCATCTTGAAATCAAGACGCAAATTCTAAGTTTTCCACTGAGGGTCAGCGGTGGAAGAGTGGAAGTGACGAGGTGAAGTCTCTCCAACAGTCCAAACGACAGCACAGAGCTGTATCTGAATGATCAAACTCATGGGAGTGCTTTTAAACTTGAGCTGAATCTTGGATTTACTTCCTAAAACCTGGGCAGGTGGCCCCTCATCTTTGAACCCTTTCCTGGCCTCCCCCAGGGATAACTGTCCACTCCTTCCTTTGTGCTGCCACCATACCCTGTACATATGTATCTGGTACTCTGGTAGCATAGTGGCTAAGACACTTGCCTGCTAACCAGACGGCTGGCGGTTCAAACCCACCAGCCACTCCTCGGAAGGAAGGTTGGGCAATCCTACTTCCGTAGTGATACTGCCTCGGAAACCCAAGGAGGGGTCGCTATGAGTCGGGGCCGACTCGACGGCACATAACAACAACAACAACAACCCAACCTGTAGTGTTTTATAGCATGTGACTAAAATCTGCAACATACAAACCTGCCTCTTAATAATTTTGAAACAGGAAAACGAAGGATTTGGGATAAACATAATAATTATAGAAAATGTTTATTTGAACATATTTATACATACTAAATTTTCCTAAGGGGAGTATAAAAAAGTGAAGCATCAGTACAAGGTAACTCACCTCCTCCATGTTCAACACATTTTTTAAAATTTCATTAAAAAAAAAAAATTATATATCAAGATAAACTCAACATCAATGGACAGACCAAAAAATCTTTTAACAGGTTAGGCTTTATTCAAAGTATTATATTAAAAAGGGGGAGAATAAATGTCTAAATAAATGTAGAAAGATGTCTGGTGGCAAATGCACATGACAGAAGGGTTTAAAGGCCTAAATAAGTTAGTTAATATTAACTGTTTTGAAAAGAAACTGTGAGAAGCTAGAGTCACACATTGTGGTGGTATGAGTAGAGCCAGGTTAAGCAGACTGCAGATTAGGCAGTTGAAGATACAGTATCCTCCCTGCCCCTTCCTCCCATAAACCACCATAAGGAATTTTACTAATGATGATGACAGTTCAGAAGGCAGTAACAGGTATAGAACACAAAGAGCCAATCTAAGAGTTTCAGAAGAAATTTTTAAAAAATTCAGTAGCATTGATTTCAGAAGCAGGTAAATAATTAGATTGTACTAAAATATAACCTTGAAATGGAAAATGTAAGAATTTTACTTGTAAGTATTAATCAAAGATCTCCTTAAAACACCTATATGCATTCTTGTTAGTTCTGAACCTTTATGTGAAAAAGACTTCAAAAGCCACCAAGAAGAGTGGAAGAAGGGCTGTAAAGTCAGCCATATCAACAATTGGTCAGTTTTTTCCCTTCAGATCTAACTGAAGGGCGTGGTGTGCGACAGGGAATCTAGAGAGTTGGCACTATGACTTGGGCCTTGGCCAAACTGACTTATTTAGGTTGAACATACAATATGCTGATATTCAATCTTTTTGACCTATAAAAATGGCAATTTCAAGTAATTCAACTTAGCATTTTGAAGGAGACTTCAAATAAAATTTAAAAATATGGAAGAGGTTATAATAGATAGAATATGAAAGATACCCTTAAAATGTTAATACACTAAGGATGACATCATAGGATTTTCCATACTGTTGCTGACTTCTCTGCATAATAAAGGCCAGACAGATAAGGAAGATAACTGTAAAACCAAGAAGCAATCCTGGCTTTCTCACACCCTTGCCATCAGAGCAGGGTTTCAGCTTTTCATGGTTAGTAGTAAAAATGAATAGTACCAATAATGAAAAATTATTATACTAGTTAAGATTAGTTAAAAGGTGTTCTGGTTACCTAGTGCCACTCTGACAAGAACATACCACAAATGGGATAGCCCTATGTGGTGTAGTAAATTACCTGGTATGGCTTTTCTAGCTCTAAGTCTGTAAACTCTGTGGTGGAATTTGCTGTGAGCAACTGAGGAGCTCCTGATTGTAAAAGTTATCTACCTGGGGTATTTCTGTGGGGTGTGGCACAAAGCAATGCTCTGGGCTGTCTCTCAGGTGCTTAGAATTCTGATGTTATGAGTGGCTAGTTTGGCCACTCAGCCAGGCTCAAAAGGAAGCCTCCTAGAGGCAGAACTCTCTCTCTGACTGCTGGCTGAGGAAGGACGTGCTGCTGAAAGAGATGTGCACTCCTGAGAGACATGTGCTGCTGGGAAAAAGATGCAAGAGACACGCATTGCTGAGTGAGACACAGAGGGACACGCACTGCTGGGAGAGAGAGTGTGAAAGACTGTGGGCTAAGAGGCGGTGGGCTGAGAGAGACTGTGCGTTTCTCCTGAACTTGAATTGTAGCCTGATGCTTCCCTGATAAACCCCATAATCTGTGAGTTCTGTGTGGTCACTGCAGCGAATTATCGAACCCAGCAGAGAGGTGGTGGGTGCTGTGGGAGGAACGGTTGGTGAAAAGGGCTGGAGGGAGGTAGCATGTCTGACCTCCCAGTAATGGGCTTTGGGCTACTGATAGTGATTCTGTCTTCCTCTTGTGTGGCTAGAGGAGGTCAGAAGATGTGTCCTCCTTGCCCTTTTAGCACCTGAACAAACAGGAGTTTATTCTCTTACAGTTCAGGGGGCTAGAAGTCAAAGTTCAAAGTGCCAGGCTGTAGGGGCTGGGTGAAAGCCTCTCCACCTTGGGCTTCAGTTTTGTCTCCTGCTTCTGGCCCACTGAAGCTAGAGGCATCTCTCCCCTCAGGCAGCTACTGGCTACTGAGGTTGACAAACCCAAGTTTGATAAGTAAAAAGGCACAGTCCCGATGTTACCAAATCACATGGCAGGCCATTAATTCAAGTCTGTTGAAAGTCCCAAGGTTGGCACAGCATGACAGGCTGCTGAAGAACGATACAGCTACATGCAGGGTTCAAGTGTGCCATAAACTAGAGACCATCCCCAAAGCTGCTGCTTATATGCAGGAAGCAGACCAATGCATTCCACCATGGAATTAATTACCAATCTTACCATGGGAAATAAGTACATCCAGCTGCCCAGCCACTCAACCAGGCTTAGCCAAGGTGACACACAAACTTAACTACCACAAAAGGAAATAAAATTTAATTTACTCAAAAAACCACATAAAGAGTAGCAACTGGGGTCTTAAAAGCTTGTAAGCAGCCATCTAGATGCAATGATGGGTCCCTCATCCACAGCAAACAAGAATGAAGAAAACCAAAGATGCATGGAGACAATTAGTCTAAGTCATGGTAGACCATGTGATCCTCAGCCTATATGACCATGAGACCAGAAGAATTAGATGGTGCCCAGCTACCTCTGTCACCCATTCAAAGGGGGATCAATGCAGGAGATCCTGCAGAGAGGGGGAGAACATTGTGGAACAAAACTCAAAATCATAAAAAAAAAAAAAGACCAGGTTTGCTGGTCTGACAGAGCCTGGTGAGACCCCTGAGACTATGGCCCCTAGCCACCCTTCAGGTCTGGAATTGAATTTACTCCTGTATCTTCCAGCCACACAACAGACAGGCATATGGGGTGAACATTTATATCAGGTAGCTAAACTCCTTGGAGCGATCAATCATGGGAGCATAAAGGCAGTGTTTACACAGGGAGATGGCTGGGGGGGGGCAGGTGTGCATGGGAGGGAAGGACACAGGGAAGAGATAACTATGGGGAGGAAGTGGGAAGAGAGCTGTTACACCGTGGGGAGATGCAATCAATGTCAGGAGACAAAATGTGCACAAACTGCTGTATGGAAAAGGAATTTGCTCTGTAAACTTTTACCCAAATCACAATAAAAATAAAAATAAAAACTCCCCCACATAAACAAAAAGAATTATGACAGCAGATACTCAGACATTAAAGATGGTCCAAACACCTAAATTGTAACAATTAAAAAGGGAGTGCATTTCCTCCTCCAGTATACTAAAGTCTCACAACATAGTATTTATGAACATATATTTAGTAAATATGTAAACGTAGGAATTCTACAGATCACTGATGAGTCTCAATCACTGACTTTCTGGTTAGCAGCCAATGGCCTTATCCAATATGCCACCAGAGCTCCTTTCTACAGATCACGCTCACAGGCAATATGATATCACTAGAAATAAAGTAAGAGGTGACTATCCCCTCCTTCAACATGAAGCGTTAGCTATCATGTCTAAAAAGGAAATCCAAAACATAATAATGAACATTTCATTATTCAGAAACAATGAAAACGTGCCTACAACATACCAAATCTGATCTTATGCTGTCAAAGTACTACTCAGATGAAAATGTGTTTCTCTACGGCAGGAACTCAACTCACATGCCTGTAGGAGTCATGGTGGATAATAAAATGCAGAATGCATACCTTGAAGTCATTCACATTCAGAAGTTTCTAACATGGTACTGGGCAAACAAAGGATGTCACAAGCTACCAGTTAGTAACCATAAATTATTATTATTTGATAGAGGGCCATGGCATGAATAATTGGAGGCATTTCTGGGAAGCCAGGCAGAAGAACAGAACCATGAGTCTGTGTCAGTCACAGCACAACCTCCCAGAGGTCTGAATAAGTCTAGAAACGATGACCTTGCAATGGACCTTCTTGTATACTTAGGCTAACCTGAGGATGGCTGCATGCATGGATTGGTGATTTTTGTGAAGAAGGGTCCCTGTTATGTTCCCTGGATAGAGGGTATGAGAACATGTAAATGGGACCATCCTATGAAGGATGGGGGGAAAATTATAAGG